ACATTTGTTAGATTTATATTTGAAAAATCCTGCCCTATTCCTGCCGAAAGTGTCGATTTGCTTGCGATCTTCCTAAATTGTTCACAATTTATTTACATTGAAAGGTTGCTTTTTAAATGTATGTTGCCCGCTTTCATGAAAACATACCGGTTTAAAAAGTAGCTGGAGCGTTTGAATACTAAATAGAAAAATTGTTCGTTTTTTCTTCTTATTTCATAATTCTTTTCGCCCTACAACTTTCAATAGATTGACCAGATTCCTCTTTTTTGCAATTTTGTAAATGTTGGGTTTCCAGTCAAAACCAGCTCCTATTCGGACGCGTCGATCAAAAAAATTCTTGTAAGTTCTTCAATGAAATTTTCAACTTTAAGTGACTTTCAACAAGTAAATAAATAAATAAAGCTGCTTCTGATCGGGTAATAACAGGTTCCTTATATCCTTTAACCGTTAATATGGCCCATATACCATGGTGGAATCTAAGCTGCAATCTAATTAGGACATGCAGAGCTGAGGGCTTAACTAATGGCCTGTTTTCAAGCTGAAGGTTCAGCTTTCCTCAATAGTTAACGCATTTTAACACCGTAATGGCCAGTAAGGATCCGCTCAAAAGCTCCAGAATCGACGTAAGAAAAGCTGAGAAAAACGTGCGAAAGCTCATGACGACTGGGCTTTGCGGACGTGATTCAATTCACACAGTATTCCACGCTGTTCAAATTAGGCTCTAACAGCCGAATATTTGTCCAAGATTGTTTTTTTTTTGTGAAGAACTACCGATAATCAAAGTTTTGCGCGCAACATTGTAAAGAATTCGCAGGAATTTCGAACACTGTTCAGGCAGGAAGTGCACAAATAGATTTCGAAGCAAACTGCACCAATTTACATTCCTCACTGCAGTTTTACTGTATGTTTACCCTTCAAACTGCCCAAAACTTGGGGCTCTTTATGATTGATTAACTCGGACCGAACGGAAACAATAATATGTGGGCGAGGCGCCAACAAAATGCTTGTTTACTAACGAAACTCTAATGCATTTTCGCGTGTTTTCTCTGGGCTTGTTGCAGTTTTTTTTCATTTTTGGAGGATGGAGTTTAAATAGAATTTCTAGTGCAGTTTTCTCAAAAAA